CTGCTGAAGACACAGACGTCCATCCCCGTGAACACTGGGACGGAACTCAACGGGAAAGGAAATTACTCCTATTTCTTATTGCAACCGTTGCATATATTAGCTGCAACATATGAATCAAGATGCTATGACCGAAAAAATGACAGCTATGACCGTTAATATATAATTGGCCGAATTTAGGTGTACAGGCTGATGTATAACTAACTGGCCTGCAGAAGATAACGAAAAAAATACACAGATTTTAAGACTGGATTTTTCTTTAAATAGAAATTTTCTAAATTTTTGGATAATATAGTCTGATAAAGTGTACATTTATATACATGTTAAAGCCAGAATGATTTGACATTTAAAGATGATTCCCCTACAACTTTAAATAAAAAACAAATTTTAACATTACATACTGATAACCTGAATAAATAAAAAATTAAGTTTTTAAATATTGAATTTATTAATTAAAGAGGAAAAGAACTCCCAATCATTCAGGCCCTAATTGCCTCTTTAACCTGCATGATATGGAGTAATTTTGGCTCTCCCTTACCTGCAGGACGGGATTATTTAGATTCTTAAACATCTGAGAATCACCGTCACTCTGATTGACCATGAATTAAAAGTGACAAGTCATGCAGCGGCATAACAATAACTCTACCACCTCCATTCGAGGTGGAATTATGGTGTTTTGGCTTTAAGCTATACTTATGGATTCTCAAAAAAATAAGCAACCAAACATCAAATATTAACAAAAGGAACAAAATCAATCCAATTTTTTTCTCATTTTATCACAAATTCTATTTTAATGCTTACTGCACATTTTCTGTTAGATCAATAAAACTCAATTCAATACTGAAACATTACTGAGTCCATCAGTTATTAAATATATCAAACTGAAATAGCTCTTGCAAACCCTCAAATATTCAGAAATAAAAATAATTAAGATCAATAGTGGTGCCCAAACTTTTTTTTTTGTTGGGTAATATATTCCAAGTGTCAACAATGTGCATTTTTCATGCTATGCTAATATTTAGCCAAATTAATGCAGTTTCATTGAAGCAGATGCTAACAGATTGCCCAAAATGCTTAAAGCTCACAGACCGTAGGAAGTTGCAGATGAGAAAGAGAGAAGAACATTTTTTAAATATATCCTAACTAGAGTTATTATTGCACTATTTATCAACACTGACACAGTTTCCAGGCTTCCCACCATCATGCAGCCCTGTGATAAAAGGCTTTGTAACCTCTGGTAGATCTCACTGATTTGGTTTCTCATTTATTCTTGAACTTCATTGGACTGAGGCATATTGTGTTGTTTTTATGACATCTTTCAGCTTCTTACATGATGTTTTTAAGAGTAATAAAATTTTAATTCTACACATTTCCCCTCCAGAAAAACTGTACTTCAATTTCCAACAATTAGTCCCAAATACTGTAATTACAATAATTAATTTGTCTTCCAAAGCATTGTAGGCATATTTAATTCCTCTCTCTGCATTTTTTATTCTAATTGTGACAGAATGGACATTAGAATTATTACACCCCCTCCTTTTTTTTTTACTTTACTTTGTTTGAAGACCTATTTTGACTGTGCTCTTGGGCTGCACTTCTCCTACTTGAACTGAGATGCAGTTACAGCAGTTCGCCACTAGTTGGCACATGGAGCGCGGTGAGCACTCCTGACTAGGGGTGTAAATAATAATCGTTTTGTATTGATGCATCGATCCAACAGCCGACGATCCGATGTATCAACACGTCCGCAAG